TATGTGAAACGGGGAATTTATTCATTAATGTAAAAGAAATAATAAAGAAATGGTAGAGGGACGGTACATACAAAGCAACAGAATGCTAACAGTACAATAAGAAAATGAATTTAACTTATAAAATACAAAAACCAGAAATAATAATCCTCAATTCCATCGGCCCATCATGTGATTCTTCATGTGTGATTTCAAATGGAGTTTTCGCAGGAATTCTTTACCGCATACAATGCAGCTGATTTGGGCCTTGTGATGAACCGTCACGTGAATTGTCATATTTTGTGATTGAGAGAAATTTTTCTTGCACGCAGAACAACTGTTCCGTTTCTCTCCTTGTGTATCTTCTTTACATGTGTACGCATATTCGATGACTGAGCAAAACCCTTCCCGCATATTCCGCATTTGTACGGCTTATTACCTGCATGAATTCTCACATGTTTTTTCATATTTGATAAGTGTGGAAAACCCTTCCCGCATATTTCGCATTTGTACGGCTTCTCACCGGTATGAATCTTCTTATGTTCACACAAATTCGATGATGCTCTGAAATGCTTCTCGCATATTTCGCATTTATACGGCTTATCACGTGTGTGAGTTCTCACATGATTCTTCATATTCGATGACTGAGCCAAACCCTTCCCGCATATTTTGCATTTGAGCGACTTCTTAGGTGTGTTAGTCGTATGTTCTTCTAGCCTTGAGGTTTCCTTTTGAAGGGACAATGCCTTAGGTTCAATTCCTGTACTTGTTTGTTCCTTACTCACTTCTTGAATTGATAGGCTCAACGAGTTCGCGTCATTCTGATCAATTTTGCTGAGTTTTACTTGTCTCCCACTTACCTCTGGCGCTGATAGATCTGATGGTTCAATCCGTCTCTCAATCATTCTTGTCATTGACAAATCTAACGGTTTTATTTGTGGCTCCTCAAATTTATGAATCCCCATATGTGTTCTTGACATTGACAAATCCAACGGTTCTGTTTGCGGCTCCTCAAATTTTATGAAGTTGTCAATTTCAAATTGCGCTAAAGGTTTGAAAACTTAAAAATATTGCAGTGCTATCTTATATTCTTTAATATTAAATGAACTTACAATGGTTTGAGTGTAACTCAGTTGGATGAGGAAGAAGATGAAGCAGATGAAATGCATTTTGATGGGAATAATTTCTTGCCAATTCTGAAACAGTT